TTTGTGTCTTAAGCAGGTGATTGACAGCAAAATAACCCAGAAATTACAAACACATTGTCCAGTTCACCCAATTTAGCTCCAACCGTTAAGTTTGATGTTGTCAAGGTAAATTTAGCCTGGGTTTTTTTCACATCAGTGTCTATGCTGCTCGGTAAAGTTGTATAACATTGACAGTATTTGTATTAGATATATTTTGTTCTGCTTAGAGAGCTTTAATGCAGCTCTCTCCCAGTCATACAGAGTTTTTTCATTTCTGTAGCCTCTGGTTAATATGATTCACATTTCATTGTCAGAGAGACAGACGTCATATGTCTCGTCATAGAGTTATTGATGTTACAAACCAGGAAAGAATCTGGAGAGAAAATGGAAAGAATCTGACTCATCTCTCGGTTAATATTTTTGTCCTCCAACCTCAATAAGCAGCGTTTTGACAAGAAAAATATCTTCTCGTGTTAACAAGGCACAAATTTGAGGTCAAATGTGTCACAATTAATAAGACTCTGTATTGTTTATTATTATTATTGTGTCTCCTCTGGATTTAAAGTTACTTTATCTGATTCGAGATCATTTCTCTTGTATTTACATTCCCTTCGTCACAGTAACTGGCTCCATCTTGGATTAACATTAAAGATCCGGTTCGATCTTGAGCAGTCGAGTGTTGTTACTGGGAGGAAAATGTCTGATATGAATAAATATTCACTGTGTGAATGTGACTGAGCTGTCTGCTGGATGATGGTCTGATCTGAATTCTGTGACAGCCGTGAAAGAAAACCTGTTGTGAGCTTAAGTTCTGTTGACTTAGAGAAACTCTGGAGACCGAGAACTCCAACCTTTTTATTATTCGATTCTCTTCTCTTCACTTGCTGCAGCGTGAGGCGACCTCTTCATCTGCCTCCTGCTGTGTTCGTTCCGTTACAGTTTCCTGTGCAGAGTCATGATCATGTCTGGAGGTGGAGAGGCGTTTGGCAGTAAGCTGGACAGTCACAGTAGGGAGCTCCCAGTGGTGGTAAACATGGTGGATGCCTTTTCTTCAAGGATACAGTTGTTTGGTTCCTGGTTCAAAAGAATAACCTGGTTTATTCTTTTCTATTCACCATGTTCCCTTAAACTGTGGAGGCAATTTTTGTTGAAAAAAGAGCAAAGTCGTTCTATAAGTTAAATCATTGGATCGAAGAAATTTCCATGAAAGTATCTAATCTCATAGAAATCATAGTTCAGTGTATTGCCCAGGGACACTTTGACATGTGGACTGAGGGAGCAAAGATCGAACCACCCACCTCCTGTAAAGTGGATTATTTTGCATTGATCACAGATGTTGCAGCCTCTTTGAATAAAACCTTGGTTCTGTAGAAAAGGAATAATATCTCCCACATATGTTATAATTTATACCTCCTCTGTTGAGCCGAATCTGTTATATGATTTATAATTAAAAATGTCATCCTCCTCTTTCGCACAATCTTCTCTATCTCTAAGCCTTTATTTGGGATTTCCCTTGTTATTTCGAGGGAAAAGTGGCTTTTCTGCCAGAGGCACTGACACTGCCAGAGTGAGCTTCTTGGCATCAGCCTTTCGTTCATAGAGCGGTCTGTCAGAAAAGTCGTGAGGATCTGCTGCTCCTCATCCTCTGTTTCAGGTCACTTGGAAGGTCAGTAGGTTTCTAAGTGCTGGGTTCAGATCTGGAAGCTGGCAGAAAAATTCACCTTTTATGAGACAAATCAGTATTACACAGTGTACACAGGCTCCTGAAAGTACATGTCCTCACAGGGGAGGGATGAGGATGAGGTAATACATTATTTACTGAGATGTTGACTGAAGGACAAAGGTGATAATCCAACTGTAGGTCAAATAACAAACAGCTCCACATCGAAGAATGAATAAACATCAACTGTCTTCTCAAGGAAACAATCAACAGCATAATTCTTTTGGCAGCTGTTGGTCTAACCGTGAAATTGTCAGTCAATATTTCATTTTGTTCTTGCGTAGTGAAATTTGATGAAATGGTGATATCACTTTTGTTTCCGTAAAAAATACAACCTGTGGTTCAATTTAATGTAATTTGCTTTCCTCCTTTTTGCCTCAAGTGACCCAGTCCTCTGACGTATGTAGTAGAGCATACACCAGAAAGCACCACCTGCATGAAAAGCATGGGTGGTAGAGGGAGAGGCACCCAAATAAGAAATACAACACTAAAAACAAAATATTCTTTTGCCACGAAGTAACAAGCACAAAAATGCAAATGTTCCCTCTCTGGTCCCCAGAATCTTGTTCAAGATGCTGCAACTCCTGTTGTCAGGATGTGAGGTCTGCACGTTGTCAGAAATAAAAAGATTATTCATTGGTTTGAGCGCAGGCAGCCACACTCACGACTCAATGCATTTGGACCATCCATAAACCAGTATTCAATAAACGGTGCTGTCAGCTTTAGATTTGTATTTGACAAGGACTGTAGTTGCAGTGAATCAAATTTGTTTTGCTGTGGGAATATTTTTTTTGTCCTTATAAATTAGGACATATCATCGGTTACACCATGGGTTTTGCCAACAAAGTAGGTTTTATTATATATTATTTTAGGTTCTTTCATATGAGCAAAAAGAAGCTCATCGTATTGTAAAATAACAAAATGGACAATGGACATTTATTTGTATTTATTTGTATGTGGACTGTTATAGTAGCAGATTCTGTACTTAAAAATTTAAAAACAGACGATAAATATAAGTTAATAAAGAAGTCTTTCTTCACAGAGAAGTCGTAGTTGTGTGTCTGTTGTGGATTCATCTGTACACGTTTCTAATAATCACTCTTGTGTGAAATAATCAGTAGTCCGGCCACTTCTCGGCTGGCTCGGTGAAATTCATTATTTGTCATGGGCACCAGAGGTCGTGACATTGACACTGGGGCTTGAGGAAGATAGTGAAGCCTGAGCCTGTTGCGCTAGCTGTAATTTAAACAAATACGCTGTGTCTGATGTGTCAAGGTACAGTTCAGACAATGTCACATGTCGAGGGGGAGCTCAATTTATGCACCTCAGCAGTTTCTTATTGTCTGTGCATCGGCGGCCACTGTGGACAAATCACTTGTAAACTTTGTGCACGCAAGATGGATGAGCAGTGCCTGTCTACTTGCAAGGCTGCATGCAAATTTCAGGAGAAGCTCGCCCAATCGCGTACTTGCATGCAAGTTACTTTTCTCTACTGCAGAAGCTCTTACAGGCTTTTAATGCACGAGGTTCAAATAAGGTTCTTACAAGCTGTTCTGTTTAATGTTAAAATAAAACATAACTGAAGAAAGAGATGTTGAGAATTAATGACTGAATGTCTGAGCCTACGAGGAGTAAACGTTTATTCTGTTTATTCCTGTTTAATAAAATAAGGCTTTGATCACACTCTTCCATCACTGCTTCCCGTATAACAGGCAAAAATTGCTCATGTATTGACTTGCATAGTGTGAACAGATGATACCTGCTCAGCTGCCTGTCTCGATTTATCCTTCATACATATCATGCAACACTTGACGACTGAGAGAGCATCTTCTTCCTCTTTTTTTTTTTAATTGATGGGTGGCACTGGCAACCAAGGTCAAGTTGCATTACCGCCATCCACTGGATCGGCCTCTTCTTCCTGACTCTTCTTTATACATACATGTTCCAACTCCCTGAGAAAGCATGGAGGGGTTTTGTATATTTTAGGACCTTCATCAAAAAGAGCCACCAACATTCAGCCTTTGATGTGCAACTGCTCCTTTTTTTACCACTTCAAACAGAATCCAGTGATGCATGATGAGGACGGGAGCCAAATGGTGATGTTTATGGATTATTTACCGAAAGTCGTAATTAATTATAAACACATGAACCTGTGCACCGCCGTCTGTCGCTACCAATTGTGTTATGGTCATGGCTACAGGTATTGGATCTGAAGGAGCCCATTAATGTACAACTATAGCAATCAAGGAATTTGCTAAATTGCTAAAATATTTATTTAATATTGATATAATAAGTTGGGCCAAGAACAAAATTGTGGCCAAGCATCCAATTACTTTTGAAGATGAGCAGCTTGGGCACTACGTGATGAAAGGACTGTCTCTCACACAGTTCTGTAATTATTGATGGAAACCCACTCAAATTATAGTATTAATGTACTATCAATTATTTTATTTGAAACGAAATATACAACTGATGCATCTACATTCAACTACAGTATCTACCCTGTCTCTATCCGTGATGCTGAAACAGTCAACTACAGTATGTCATGCCAAAAAACTACATAATATACTATTATATATGGAGAAAAACACAAAAATGAGAGGGATTTTAGACACTGTCACAGGCCTTCACTTTAAATACCCACACAGTGCATCCAAACCCGTTTTCCTATTAAAGATATACAACTTTACAAACTGCAAATTTAGATTCACTTCTTTGACCTTTAACAAAGAAGAGAGAAAAATAGCAAGGGATCAGGAAAAGAACCGAAGTTGTGGATCACTCTCTGGAGATGTATGGTACAGGAATAAACTGAGTAAATCAGGATTTGGCTGCACATCTAATGCCAGGATCAAATTATTATTGGTTTGAGTCTTTTTAAAGGAATTATTGAAAATAGAAAATTGCAAAATATCACCACACTTTTTAATAGGACTCTCTGTGCCTCTGCAATATTTTGAAACTCCTCATAGTCCATAGTCTATCAATTTTCCATCTTCAAACACAAAAATATATTAAAATATGCTTCCATGTTTCTCAAAAGGAAGAATATCTTGATAATATATAAGAAACAGCATTACTATGAGCCAGACTAACTTTCTGAACCCTTTTCTAAACTTTAAACTACTTTTCACAACTATAAACACTTTATAAATCAACACGTTATAAATCAACATGTTCAACTGAGCCAGCTGTTGCTCTCAGTGGGAAAGTGATCAATCTGTATTTGTGTGTTTGCTGTCCTGTGCATCTCTCCTTTGTCTACACTTTTCACTCATCATCGCCCTCCTTCTTCCAACAGAGATTCGTGAGGCTTTCAAGGTATTTGACCGAGATGGGAACGGCTTTATCTCAAAGCAGGAGCTGGGGACGGCCATGCGCTCACTGGGCTACATGCCCAATGAGGTGGAGCTGGAGGTCATCATCCAAAGACTTGACATGGACGGTATGTTTCTCTCTCTCCTTCTTGATCTGGGTCAGAAACTTCACACGTGTTCAGGCTGCTGCATCAAATCCTGCAGTGACATGTCTGTGTGCTTCTCTGTTTTAATCAGGTGACGGTCAGGTCGGCTTCGAAGAATTTGTCACATTACTCGGACCTAAACTCTCTTCTGCTGGAATGCCCGATAAGTTCCACGGAGCCGACTTTGATTCAGTGTTTTGGAAGGTAAATCATCATCAGCATCATCAGTCAGGTTGAATAAAGTCTTAACCTTCTCCCTTATCAGCGTAATGCATTTCCTGTCTTCTCTTTAGGATGTTTTCCAGAAGGCTTTTCTGTTTTTTTCAATAAAAAGGGAGGCATGGTGGTGCAGAGGTCCTCTGAAATCACCTCAAAGCAACAGTCTAAATACATGGACATTAGGGTTAGATTAACTGGAGACTGTAAACTGTCCATAGGTGTGAATGAGAGCTTGTTTGTCTCTGTATGTCGGCCCTGTGATGAGCTGGTGATCTGTCCTCTCACCCTCAATGTCAGATGGGATTGACCCCTGCCCCCCCCCCCCCCCCCCC